ATGAGCTCTCCAGGCACAGCTGTCATACGTTGCTACTATGGTGGCTCAGTCCAGGGCAAAGCTAATACAGAGAGACAAAGTCAGAGCCAAGAGAACACAAGGAAAGAGTACTATCGCACAAACCTCTAGATCATAGCATACCTGAAACCACCTGCAATCACGGGAGCCCGTGTGGTCCCTTAACTAATTTCAGCCCGCCTGGCTTAACTCATTCTGTTACTTGTAACTGACACAGAATCTGAGGTGGCTCAATTAGCTCTGTTGGCCATGGAAGGAAGTCACAGCGCCACGTGCTCCGCAGCCATTTAATTCCTCTACTCCCCTGCAGGATCTCTTTGCCACCTTAAAGTTTCATCCATTTTACTCACTTTAAAAGTATAAAATGTTGAGAAGAAAATGTGCAAAAGTGGTTCTGCAAAAAAGATAGGTAGGTTCCTGCAGATAACTGTTCTCATTAAGTACGGGCCCCTAAAGGTTGCTGTAATAATCTTCGCTCAACAGAGAAATAATGGTAGTGAAGGATGAAATATTAGTATGGGGGTTGGGGGAGTCTTCCCAGCAAAATAGAGTAAGAAGTTGGAGAGCACTGTGTTCTGGTCTGTGCCCCTCTCTGTGAGGGGTGCTTAGTGACGTCCCTCTCTTCTGGGCGGGAGCTAGGCTATATGACTTCCTGTCTTCCAGCGGCCAAATGCTATTCTATGAGCTAGACCAGGGCATATCCTCCCCGGGAGGGGAGGCCACGAAGCACTTCCGGGCTACCGCCTTCCCTTACTCTCTGATAAGGAGCAAGACTCTTATCTAAGTCCTTCTCTTTCCTGGCTCTGACACTTATACGAGCTGCAGAAGGTCAGCTATATGCAAAATACAGAAGCCACTGCAGACACTGTCAGGAGCACTGAGCTGCCCCAGACATGCTTCTAGCTGCCAAGTTTGCCTCGAGGTTGTTTTACACAGTGCTGAGATCCCGACTCGGTCCAAGAGCTGACTGTGGACAAGGAACAATTAGCAAGCTAGATGGTTATCTCTTAAATGGGCCTCTTGCCTATTCACTCCTGATTCCATTACCTATTAGTTATGTGTCACTGCAATCAACAGATTAAAGGCTGGACATCTTTGGATTCTGGTGCAAAAGGAGGCATCAGAGTACAAACAAACCCTTAAATGGGACCTCATCACAAGTTAGGCTGTAGGTGGCCTATTGGAGAAACCTTCCTAACATGTTCTTCCAACTCTCAGAAAGCCGGGACATTACGCAGCACTGGGAAAGCGCTAACTATCTATTTCCACCATCACAAATGAATTCCAAGGTCATTAACTCCACTTGAGTATCAGCGCTGAGAAACACTCTGAGGCCAGGTCTGGGCTCAGTGGGAAAGAGGCTGATGAGGAACATCTGTCTGGGCTACACCAGGGAAGCGACACAGCGACACACACTTGCCCTCTCCCCTTCTCGCCACACAGCTAAGAAATCCAAGGCCCAGAGAGGTGAAATTGCTTTCTTGAGGTCACAGAGTGAGCTCAGGGTAAGAGAGAGAACTAGAAGCCAAGCCTGCCTTCCTAAGGAGACCCTGCCTCAGTGGGTCTCCTCCTCAGGAAACAGCAGAGGAGGGCAGGAGAACGCAAGGAAGCCAACTCCCTCCTACGGGCATCAGATTTCACTTGGGCGAGCAGACAGAAAAGTGATTAGCTACCTAAACAATCCAGGCCCTCTGCGTACAGTTAAAGAAATCACTGCAGGCCACATTTCTGTGGCGCTTAACTTGCTGATGGGCAAAGGCTCTGCTACCAGGAAGATGGGAAAAAAAAAGAAGCGACAAGTATTGATTTGTGGATGCTCTAAGAATAAAGTTCAGCTCTGACACATGAGAAAAGCAACTAATACCTCAAAATTAAAGTCACTTGTATTCCATTTTCCCACCAACTTCTATTCTACAGACACCGCTGTCCAATGAAGTCATTTCTCACCACAGACTGTGGCTCTGAAATGGAGAAGGACTGCATGGAGTTTCCTACCGTGGGTATTTAATAACCAGTTCCCAAGCCTGGAATATGAAACAGACTCTAGAATTAAACCAAGAGGTTAAGTAGAGCAGGGCTAGGAATGAGAGAGAACCCCAAAATAAAGGAAAGATGGCCTCAAAGCTGGCTTTTCTTGCTTGGTTTTGCAGCTTTCCAAAAAACCAGCTGTGTGCCCAGATGAATGCTAAACATCCCAGAAGCATTATGTGTTCTTTATAAATGAGACGCCCTGCTCGGCTCTAGAGGAACACCCAGGCTGAGCCAGCACGGCAGTTACGAAGGCTCACATTTTAGCAGACGACAAAGACTCCTGATTTGAAACTCCATTCTTTGGTCCACTGGCAAAATCAAGCAGTTAAAGGACTGCTCGGTGGGCAGAGAAGTTCTCTCAAACCACAAGGAACCTATTTTTCATCTGGATAAAGTCCTGCCAGAACTCCCTCCAGAGCCTCTGTGGTTATTACTACCTGAAAGACCAACGAAAGTCTCAACAAACATGACAGTGAGAGGCGGAGCCACCTGGTCAGCCCCGTCCAAAGAGCCCTGTGAGCTCCAGACCCATCTCCCAGGTAGCAGGCTGACAGGGCTGCCGGTGGGACCAGCATGACTCCGGGACTCAGCTCCCCTCGCACAAGGCCAGCTGACATTCAAAGGAGGCACCAGGGGCCAAGCCCAGGGCGCTGCATCTGCGGGAGAGTGGAACAGAAAGGGGCTGTGTGGGAATCTGGCAGGATGTTCGGGAGAGGCAGCAGATGAATGCTGAGTCCTGTAGCACCTAGCAGAGCTCACCAGTGGGGAAACAACTCTCTCCTGCTACTCCCAGTAAGCAAAGAGGTTTTCTTTAAAGCTAGGACAATCGGTTGACAGACCTGCCCCTGCACACACCCACAACCCCCCACACACACCTTTGCCACTCCAACCCCCTCCTCTTCATGCTATTCCAGGGAAAGGAAATGAATAGCACTAGACCTGCCCAGATGAGCCTCTGCTCATTTCAGTGAGGGGCTCCAAGCAACATCCAGCTGTTGCTCCCCTCTCCCTCTGCACAAAAGGCTGCCTTATTCCATCAGTGCCCTCTTGCACAAGGGAGTAATTTATTTTAAAGCTCAGGCCAAACTGGCAGTTAACCTTGACCTTCTCTCTACACATCTGGGTCTACAGAAAATGAAAATCAGGACATCTCTAGCATCTCCTGCAGTGAAATACGAGGGCTTTCTCCAGGCAGAGGCAGAGTGTCAACAGCTATTTTAGAAGTGCCAAAGCTGTTCCAAAGGAGAGTTTGCACTTGGCCGGGACACTCCCCCTTGGGCTGGGGTTGTGTCCAGTATGGCGCCCCCAGAGTTAGGGATGCTACCAGGGACCCCATGGAGTCAGGAAAAGGGGGGAAAAGACTAATTGTACTCTTCAGTGATTCAGAGATAGCATCACAATGCAGACACTGGACCAATATTCTCATTTCACAGATGGAGAAAGTAAGGCTCAGAGAGGGAGACCGGGGGTAACCAAGGACAAGGACACAGACAGCAAGTTAATGGCAGAGCTGAGGACAGAACCCTGGCCTTCTGACCCTTATGCCAGTACAGGATAGAAAGAGATGAAAGAGATTCTGTGGGAAAACCCACCAGATACAGAATTGAAGGGAGAGAGGTCCAAGTCGGCTGCCAGTCTGAAGCAGGGGTTTAGCAATGAAGTTGGGCCCTTGTCTCTAAACAGTACGCTCTACTGTTTAGATCAGAAAGATCAACCAGACCTTCTAAGATTTGTTGCAACAATTCCCAGAGTGACAGGCTGAGCTCCAGTAGATCAGCCCCGTAGCAAAGAGCCTTCTGTGTTCAAGATGCCAGAACTCGCCTGATACTGAGAAGTGAAAGGAGAATCAGTGGCCTCTAAAAGTCAGCGTCTTCCCCTGAGGGCAGCCAACCATCAGTCAAGTCTGACCCTGAGGCACAAATTACCCACTTCCCATGGGACCAAGAAAAGCCCATAAGGAAACCCAAATACCCTCCTGTTGGAACAGTCTGAGCATGCATATGCTGGCCAGGAGCTGCAAGAGTCAGAGTGATGTGACAAAAACTCTGCTATCAGGAAGCTGCAAGGCTATGTACATACACACACACACACACACACACACACACACACACACACACGGACATGAGTGAGTTCAGAAGAGGCATCAACTGTTAAGATCCCAGCTTTGTCCAGAAGAAGCAGTACATTTGATCAGTTTTGAAGAGACAAGGAGGACATGTGGTGTTCCATCCTCAGGGCAATGGACATCAGTACCTCTGGGACAGGTCAGGGATCCATCCACCACCTGAGGGCAAGAGGGTCAAAGGCAGCAAGTTCCTCAAGGAGCAGCAGCTCACCCAAACCCACCTCCAGGAGTCTGAAGCTCCAAAGGAAACAGGATCTGGCATCCCAGGGAATGCACAGGACCTGAGCAAGGAAAGGGCTGGGGGAGGGGAGAAACAAGCGGGGACAGGAGAGCCGGGAGACGCAGGTGTTCCCCCCGCAGATGACAAAACAGGAAAGGGACGGATCTGGGGGGAAACACACCAAGATCAGCAGGTGGGAGGGTGCAGAGAGAATGTGGACACCAAATAGAAGCACTAGCACCTCCACTCCGGTCCTCAGGAGGAATCTTCCTGGGACACAGAAAAGCAGGTGGAGAAGTGTGGAAGTGATCAGGGAATATCAGAGAGCAGACGGGAAAAAAGGGAAGGTAAAACATGATGAGATATGGAGGTCCGGACTGGGCACCAGGCGTCATGGGTTCTACTCTTGGCTCTGTCTCCGACTGGAATGGAATCCTGGACAAGTCCCTATCCTTTTCCGAGCCTCAATTTTTCCAATCTGCTGAATGGGAAAAGCAAAATCTTCGGCGCTGCCTCTGACGTGACAGAAGAGGTAGAATAGGATTCGTAGGCTAGAAGTGAATTCGAGGACTGGGGTCCTCAACCCCAGGCAACTGAGGCGCTCACCTGTCCGGCCGCCGGTGCCACAGCCGCCCCGGGCTCCCCGGGGGTGTCGTCGGGTTGCCGCTCGC